ATGCTTGTCAGAAAATAACATGAAATAAAGATCACTTTGGATCGAATAGTGAAGCCGTGAAGTCTTTGGTAATTTAAAACACCATTTGCATTGAGTATATATTTTGCTAAAACGTCGAGTACAGCACAACTACAATTTGGAGTACGTGTACAACTATAATTTTGGAGTACGTGCACATTTACATGCTTGGAGCAGCAAAGTAAGAGGATATTTTCCAGACCAAAGGTGCGTGCATATTTCAACTTATAAGATAATGTTGCTCCAAACAACAAAAGCGCTACGATTAATTCGCTGAGAGCACTAACCAGCCGAAATAGGGTAGTTTGAAATTCATCTCCAGTTAAATACATTTGTGGCGTTTAAATAAAACAACTTATCCCGAGTAAGGCCATCTTTAAAGCAATATTACAGTGCGTTTGCAAACAATATTTTAACGATTGACCACGGAATGCGGAAGTTTTCATGCATTGCTACAGCAAAAGGTCGCGAGAACACCAATAAGTAGCGTATTGTGGCTTTCCGATAAGCTGCTTCTAGTAGTCTGCATGCCTTGTAACTAAGCCGAAGTGTTAGTCTGGCGAATTGCCACTTGATTTAATATATTCACCTACTCATTAGTGTTGTGTTACATACATAAATACCTCAAGTGCAATTTTTAACAGGAAGCAGAAGTTTATTTAAGAACCTAATAACACTATGAGACAGTCAAAATCGGGATAGGATGAAACCAACGGGAAATGTTATATCAGTCAAAAACAAGTTATACGTGGCGTTTCGCTGGGTCACGTCTAGGAATCGAGATATATCGATTTGAAGTTAGTAACTATCATATAGGGGAAATTGTCACCTTTGGTGGTCTTTTTTTTTGACATAACTCGAGAACCACTAGTCCGATTTTGCTCAAACAAATTAAAAAAAAATTAAAAATTACAATTCCTTTAATCTGTTAATATAACGTTTTTTTTATATACTCAACAGTTTTGCCGGTAAAAATAAATGTATGAAGAAAAAAAAAATTATTTTTGCCTAAAAATTAAAATTATTATTTTTTTAATTCATAAAAAATCCAAAACGGAAAATAGTGTCACGTAAAGTCACATAACCTATGAACAAAATGAGACATACATCATGAAAATCAATGTATGCGTTTCGCTTTTATTCAAAATTAAGTAAAGGTATGAATTTCAAAAATTTGCTCGAGATATGCTCAAAATTCCTTGGAAAAAACATTGATGATGTCATGATTGTCAGAATTAAAAAAAAAAGTAATAAACAAAAGGTTATTTGATTTTTATGGTAGCGGTAACAAACTAAAAAACGGTCATAAATGTGCGTGGACAATTAAAAGGAAAAAAGGAAAGTGCACTTTTTTAATTATTTGGGTTTTTTCCGTTGGCTACCAGCATGATTTTTTTACACAAATTGCACCCACATTTATGAGTGGTCATGTTTTAGAACGTTTCGAAAAATTTAAAACGCACACGAATCAGGTATATAGCCACCCTTAAAAGATGCGCCAATTCATAAGTACCTCTCAGTAAAATATTGAAACTTACGTAGTATTTATAGGTGTTCATTGATCGATTTTTGTCATTCAACAAGTGTCTCCGAACGCGTAAAGTACGATTTTTTTAAAGTGACGAAAAAGTAATAAAAGTATAAAACAGAAATGAGTGCAAATTGTCCAGAAAATATCAATTTATTTTGTTACGTTTGTGGCAAAAGAGCTTTTTCAACAAATACTGCATTACTCACTGAGCAAGTGGAGCGCGCTTTTAAACTTTATTTAGATTTCGAAATAATTCGTNTCGTTTTGGTGTACCAATGATTTGTACTGATCCAGGAGAGCACAATTCCGACAACTGTTACGCTTGCGCAAACAAAATATGTGGAGTAAATCGTAAAGGCCTTAAACGAAGTGTTTACATATCTGTTAAAAGTGCACAAATACCTCTACCGCATTCGGATGAAATACCAATTCCACCGCTTCCAAGTCCTAACAGAGAAACTTCTTTTTCTATTGAAACAATGGATCAATCGGATTTCACCTATAAACCAACACCAGAAGCCGGCCCATCGAACAAAATAATTCCAATATCACAAGCAAGAATGGACAATATTGTTGCAGAATTAAACCTTTCTTAACGTGAAGCAGAAAAACTTGCCCAGCTTTTGAAAGAAGGCAACAATTTGGAGCCTAATGTCAAAGTCACCGGATATCGAAGACGACAATTGCTATTCCAACGGTACTACACACTCAACGAAGGGAACACATTTGTTTACTGCCACGATATAAAGGGACTGATGGAGGCGATGGCCATTAATTATATCGCAGCTGATTGGCGAATGTTCATCGATTCTTCGGAATCAAGCCTGAAAGTCGTTTTGCTACACAAATATAATAAAAAACCAACCATTCCCATTGGCTACAGCACAGACATGAGCAAAATATACGATTCCATGAAAATAATTTTGGATAAAGTTTGCTACACTGATCACATGTGGCGGATCAGTTGTGATCTGAAAGTCGTGGCGATGCTAAGAGGTCTCCAAGGAGGCTATACGAAAAACATGTGTTTCTTGTGTCTTTGGGATACCCGATTTAAAGGAAACCAATACGAAACGCATGACTGGCTTGCTCGAGATCCAACGGAGAAAGGACACAACTGCGTAAATGATCCACTGGTGCCAATGGAGAACGTCCGCATGCCCCCTCTCCATATCAAACTGGGAATCGTAAAAAATTTCATCAAGGCCATTGTGAAGCAACCGAAAATTCTTGATTGTTTGAAAAATATTTTCCCACCAATCAGCGAAGCAAAATTGAAGGAAGGTGTTCTGAATGGGCCGGATATACGAAAGCTCATGAAATCAAAGGAATTTAAAGGTGCTTTAGACGGTAATGATTACTTTGCGTGGAGGGCAGTGAAGAAAGTCATACGATATTTTTTGGGAAGTACGCGAGCACACAATTACCCCGCTCTTGTGACCAAGATGTTGCACTACTTCCAGAAAATTGGAGTGAATATGTCCCTCAAAATTCACTTCTTGCATCACCATCTCGAATACTTCAGCAAGCAGCTAGCCTCAGAGTCGGATGAACATGGCGAGCGCTTCCATCAAGTGGCAATGCCAATGGAAACGCGATATAAAGGCAAAAGGCTCGATTCGCTGGTGGCTGAAATTTGTTGGTGGTCGCAAAAGACGTACGATCCCGACAATGAAGATGAAGAAGAAGAATATACAATGGGAGTTTCCTCCGAGGGTAAGTCACAAAAATGAAGTTAACTGACTGATTAAAAACAATTGATTTTTTCCAGATGAAGACAGATCCTCATCCGATACAGACTCTGAACAAGTGGGCGAACCACCACGCAAGAAAGTAAAGGGCGCAAACAAACGAAAATAAGTTTTGCGTTCATCGATTTTTATAACCTATGTATCTATGTAATAACCTAATAATTACCTGTAATAATTTTTAATTTTACGTGTTAATAATAAATAATATATAATAAATATTATCCAAATTCATTGAAACATAAAATCAATATTCTTGTCAAAATGAGATACCTTCACTTAATTGTGAATAAAAGCGAAACGCGTCCATCGATTTTCATGATCTATGTCTCATTTTGCTTAAAGGTTATGTGACTTTGCGTGAAAGTAATACGACTTGCCTTTTTTCCGTTTTGGATTTTTTATGAATTTAAAAAATAAAAAAATTTAATATTTTAGGCAAAAAATATTTTTTTTCTTCATACATTTATTTTTACCGGCAAAACTGTTGATTATATAGAAAAACGTTATATGAACAGATTAAAGGAATTGTAATTTTTAATTTGTTTTTTAATATGTTTGAGCAAAATCGGACTAGTGGTTCTCGAGATATGTCAAAAAAAAGACCACCAAAGGTGACAATTTCCCCTATATGATAGTTACTAACTTCAAATCGATATATTTCGATTCCTAGACGTGACCCAGCGAAACGCCGGGACACGTATAACTTCTTTTTTACCGATATAACTTTCCCCGGTAGTTTGAACCCTTCCCAATCACTGACCCCTACCATTTGTCTCACAGTGTAATTAATCATAGGCAAACTTCTCTGTAACCTAATTATTCTATATGCATTCTATCTAAATATTCTAAGTCCCAAGAATTAATAAACTTCGACTAGATAAACTCGACCAAAAATATAGGTACATATTTTTACAAATAGCTTTTATTAGTTGTAGGATTTTATTAAATTTTTGACAATACTTCAACACGTAATTTATGAAGTTATTTTATTCGCTTTCAGCCCTTCCCAACATCGTCACAAATTGCTCCATTGCAAATCGCACTGAAGTGAGTGTCGACATACAATGCATCCCCGGCTATGACGGTGGACTGCCACAGATTTTTGTTCTCGAGATATTTTCTGCACGCACAGGACTTACAAGGTAATTAGAAATTATAAAATTTTTTATATTTTTTTTGAGTGGTTAAAACCATAATCGCTTGCTTCAGGAGGCAACCTCCTTTGCTCTTTGAAGAAACTGCTGTCAAAAGTAGATGCTCGCAAATGCAAAAACAAAATCATGAAAGTATGTGTATTTGTTCTTAAAAGTTAAAAAAAGCCTTATCCAAATCAGAAATCGGCAACTTGTTTTAACCTTCCATTTATTTGGCAGTGTTCACAAAATTTAAGATTTTTGTTCTTGTTATTTTCCTAAATATTTATGCCTAGGCCAAATCAAATTATGTGAACATTTTCATACATATTTAGTCGTAAAAGTACCCAACCCAAATGGATATGATAGAAATGATAATATAAAATTTTACGAGTTTTGTACATAAATGCCCACTTGTTTGTACGTATAAATAAACACATCAGGGTGGCCCAAATATGCTGGTGAAAAAAGTAAAGTCGCCCCCTACATAGTATTGTTCTATATCGAAAAAATGTATGCCTGTTTTTGTTTTTTTGTAAATAACAAAAAAATATTTAGGGATCACTCAAAGGGCTTAAAGTTTCTCATGTATATTATATGGGGAAAAAACTATTTTTCGTAGAAATGCTATAGAATTCTTTAAAATAATACTTTACGATCGGGAAACTCTGTTTCTCTTCCGATTGTGTATGAAACCATTTTTTAATTGTAACTGCTTTTTGTATAAAAAATAATTTATATTAAAAAATGTTTAAATTTTCAATAATGTATCGTTCTTTTAACTCTCCAGAGATGAAACAGAGTTTGCTGATTGGAAAACATAGACTTTCCCATAAAAAATTCATAGAAAATTTTGAACGCTTTGAGGGATCTCTTAATATTTTTTTTTGATTTCAAAAAGTAACAAAAGTACATATATTTTTTCTATATAGGGTCGAGAGCATTAAAATTCCGACTTTACTTTCTTTGGGTAATAATGTACATATGCTTGTGTTCGTACAATGATTCTACAGTTTATAAAACCATAATTATTTGATATGCTGAAAGGGTGAAGTCATATTTTTTGTATGGACGTTAGCTATGATGCATGTAAGTAAGTAATTGTGGAAATTTAGATCTTGTGATTTGTATATTAACATTAATATTGTTTGGATAGAACAGCTAAAGGCTGGAGTAAGGAAAAATGTACGGAAACTCCAGTGCCTGCAAAACAAAGTTCCCCATCTAATCCTATTATCTTTACATGATACGCTCTTGTTTCCCATTCAGGAAAGTGATATCACTCCTACTCACTTAGTTTTGTACTGACTTAAAAATTAGGAAGCTACTAGTATCCACACAATGGACTTAATACAGCAAACCTACTACAAGGGTGAAACGGTCGTACCATATAAAAATCACATGAAAAAACAAAGTATAATTTTATAGCTTCTAGATCGATAAAGGCGCTTCTTGGCCGATGAGGATGCCAAGACAAAATATAGCGCGCTGGAGAGACGCGGCACTTAGCTTCTCATACTGGTATCGACTGACTCAATGCTCAAGGACTGAATAAGGAACGCTGCTGTAGACACACTGGGTTTGCTATCGCCCTTTCTGTCTCTTTTTAAATCAACCATAAGAATGGAAAGAAAGAACTAGGCTTTGTTATTAATTTCCGTAAAATGCTTGCCAAGAATTAGTAAGCTGGTAATATCGGCTTCGGATAATTTTTCTACGTGGGGAAGAAAAAGTGGGCTAGGGGTTTCACTTTCTAAAAGTAAACTTGCCTTGTTTATTTATTTATTTAATTCATCAATTAGAGTACAACTCAAATAGATTACTAAAAATGTAAAAAGTAATAGTGAACAATAAAAATGCGTAAACATAGACCTACCATAAAATAGATAGACTAATTACAATTTAAAAAATGCATCCTGAGATTTAGTTTAGATTTAAAACACTCACGAGAATTTGAGAATACATTTAAATTTTTACAAACATGGTTAGTCTGCCTCAGACAACGGGTAAGCGGATCATTAAGCATGAAGTTGGTCTTGCAATAAGGTAAATAGAACATGTCGCTGAATCTGAGATCCCGAGCAGGACAATTGAAATGAATAAGCTCAAGCAAGAAGTGGCAATTGATGTGACTCGTGACTATGTCCCTAATAAACATTATCGAGGAAATTTGTCTACGCATTTGTAATGTCGGCAATGCCAGCATAAGGCACCTACTCTTATAATTAGGCATACTACAATTCCAATTCAGAGAGTGAATGGCATATCTAGTAAAGCGTTTCTGGACCTTCTCAATCCTTAAGGATGAACCCGAATAGAAAGGATCCCAAATGATGCTGCAATACTCAAGATTGGATCTTACAAATGCAAAATACGAGCTCTTGAGAGTGAAAAGGTCCCGGAATTCATTTTAATTTCTCATTAAGAAGCCGAGCATAGACCTGGACTGGGTTATCATCAAATCTATATGTTTAGAAAATGACATTTTCGAAGAAAAGATGACCCCCAGATCTTTCTTTTCATAAATTTTAGTGAGAGTGGCAGAGCCCAACCTATAATGATAGTCAATTGTCACTTTACGTCTACTGAAGGACATATACTGGCATTTACCAACGTTGAGAGGTAAGCAGTTAGCATCACACCATACTTGCAATCTGAGTAAGCCATCTTGAAGTTTAATGCAGTCGGACGTGATTTCAATGCGACTGTATATCTTCAAGTCATCTGCGTACATTAGACAACGAGATGTTAAGAAAACGTCGGGAATATCATTGACAAAGATCAAGAAAAGTAACGGTCCCAGGTGGCTGCCTTGTGGTACACCAGAAGTGGCTTTAATCGCATCTGATTTAGTGTTATTTATACGGTCGAATTGGGTCGNAAGTCCAATTGATTCCAGCTTTCCTAGTAGTGTTTTATGACTCACCTTATCAAAGGCTTTCGAGAAGTCGGTGAAAATGACATCGCATTGTTGACCGATCTCGAATTGTTTTAAAATAAAATTTGAAAATAAGGCCAAGTTTGAAGAAGTGGTTCTACCCTTAATGAATCCGTGCTGATAAGGCGATATGAGCCCAGAAATCTGGAAAACAATCTTATCATGGACAAGTTTTTCGAAAAGTTTTGGTATACTTGAAATTTTACAGATTGGACGATAATTTTGTATGTCCGACTTGCTCCCAGACTTATGAATAGGTATAATGAAGGGCCTTTTCCAATTATGTAGGAATTCCCCTAATGATAGGGATTTGTTAAAGATAATTGATAGAGGCAGGGCTAACGCTGAAGCGCAGTTCTTTAATAAAGTAGGAGGGAAACCGTCTTCTCCAGGATTTGGGTCATTTGGCAAATCCAAAAGGCCAGCTAGAACTTCTTCAGCTGAAAGCTGTAAGCCTTCAGGCACAAGTGTGCTGCTATGTAAGTTATTGACTGTTCCGGTTTCAGACTGAGGAACAAAAACAGAGCGGAAGAAGGAAGCAATCAGGTTACAAATTCCGCCTGGGTATATCAGGCACTGAAAGCAATACAACCCATTAAGGGTTGAATATTTAGTTTCGTTTAAAGCCACCACAAATATACGTTAAATGAAGGTAATGAAAATGTGGAAGCTGGCCGAATATAGTACATTAAGAACTTTACAACTATACCCCTTTTTTATTTCTTAATCAAAAACTATGTGTTTAGAGGTCGCTCAACGCGCTCAAAATGTTTTTTGTATTTAACTCTGTTTCTTTTCAGGAGACCTCCAATTATAATACTCAGTTGTTTATTTTGCCATTTTTTAATACAAACTACATTTTATGGTTCGCCCATTGCCTTTTTGAAAACATTTTTTGGGGCTAGCATGAATTTTCAGCCCTCTACTTGTATGATAAAACATAGCTATAGGTAGGGTTGCCAGATTTTGAAACGGAGAAAGGAGTGCATTTATATTTTCGATAGAAAAAAAGCCGTACATGACATAAAAAAGGAGTACAATTTTATTTTTATTTTTTTGTGCAATTTATTGTTACAAGTTACCGTTAATTAGGTACAAACAACCAAAGATATCTTAGAAATCTTTTTCAAAGCAACAATAAATGTGAAAAATAAATAACTATATGGGTTGGCTTTCCAATAGGAACGGTTGTTAAAGAGATGGTGATCGAAGGGGGAGTGGACGTGGCACCTTTTCCGACCTTTTTGGAGAGGGCATGAACCGCCATTAACAAAAATGTTACTCCGACCACCTAGGGCCCTGCGGGACCCCTTAGAAAAATTGCCAAAAGTCACAATTTTCACAGTCCACAGTATTTTTGCGTAGAATTCGGTTCTCAATGACCGGCCTTATTGGAAAGTTTCCCCAACTAAAAAACTAAAAACTACAAAAGAATTCCAGACTCTTCCTGAATGTATGACCATTTTTTTAATTTAATCCTTATAATTAATTTAATATTTTTCTGAATTTTATACCCGAGCGCCCTGCCCCTAAGGCTATGCTTACACCTTTTCACTATCACACTTAACTTTGTAGTGTTTGCCACAATATGAATGGCAAAGTACAGCGCGCAAAATAATAACTGTCGCACAGGTTTTTTGAAAAATAAAAGGGTTCTTTATACCCGAGCGCACTTGTGCACAAGTTGCCACCTGTTATAAAAGTTTCATTAAATTAATACGCGGAAACGACTGAATGGATTTGCATGAAATTTTGCAAGCAGATAGCTTATGACCTATAGTGGAAAATAGGTAAATTTTTTGGAAGAGTTGTCACCTGTTAAAAAAGTTTAATTAAATTAATACGCGGAAACGACTAAACGGATTTGCATGAAATATTGCACACAGATAGGTTATGACCTAGGTTAGAAAGTAGGCTACTTTTCTAAGAGTTACCACCTGTTAGAAATGTTTAATTTAATTAATACACGGAAATGAGTGAACTGATTTGCATGGAAGTTTTCACACAGATAGCTTTTGAGCTAGGTTGAAAAATAGGCTACTGTTTTTAAGAGTTACCACCTGTTAGAAAT